GCCTGCCCCGGGCCACATGTGTGACCGCAGGCAGCCCACCCAATCTGCCAGAGCAACACCCCTGTCGCCTCCTGTGCCCCCAGCCCCGGGGCAGGCAAAGCCCTGCAGAGGAAGCTTGAAGCCACCACTGGCTTCCCCTGGTCCTGCAGACCCTGCCCAGCCGTGCCTGGTCCTCGCTAGCGGACGACGCCTGCCCCGTCCTGGCCACATGTGTGACCGCAGTGGGGTGAGGAAGAAGTCCACCCTGCCAGAGCAACACCCCTGTCGCCTCCTGTGCCCCCAGCCCCGGGGCAGGCAAAGCCCTGCAGAGGAAGCTTGAAGCCACCACTGGCTTCCCCTGGTCCTGCAGACCCTGCCCAGCCGTGCCTGGTCCTCGCTAGCGGACGACGCCTGCCCCGTCCTGGCCACATGTGTGACCGCAGTGGGGTGAGGAAGAAGTCCACCCCAAAACCCACACTGGGGGGCCAGAGCACGGAAAGGATCTCTTAAAGGATGATTGAAGGGACTGTTTCATCCTATATCCTGCAGCCACAGTGCTCTGCGTGCCCCCGAGCCGGGCAGGGGGGCAGCACTGGTGAGGAGGGAGCTGCCTGCACCCCACGGGACGGCGGCAGCAGCAGGTCTGGGAACAGGCAATGCCTCTTGCAACGGCCAAGCCGAGGGTGCTGCAGTCTGCAGGGCCGGGCCAGCAGCCTGGAGGCACCCCGTCCAGCTCAGCCCGTGACCCTCAGGGCAGGGGGGCTGCATGGCACCGCTCACGGGAGGCACCCACCTCGTCCGGGGTGTCCTTGGCATCCGGCTGGCCCGCAGCGGCACGGCGGGCGAGGTTCCCTGCACGGATGTTGCTGAGGTTGATCTGGCGCTCGGGGGGCGGTCCGCCTCGGGGCTGCCCACGGACGATGATGGCGCAGCCCGACAGCACCTGCGGGGAGGCAGAGGGGTTATAGGGGAATCCCCCGGCAAAGGAGAGCAGGCGGGAGGCTGGGGAGGAGGTGACAGAGCTGAACACGCCGGCAGGTGATGCTGTGCGGACAGACAGACTTCCAGGGATGGATTGTGCCCTAGGCAGGGCATGGGAAACTTGGCACCACAGGGCACAACTTCTCGTGGGCCTGGCAGAGTCAGGAGCTGCCCCAGCTTTCCTGCTCGGAGATGCAGGATGGAGCCAAGCTCCGCACCCTGCACCTACACAGCGGTACCTGTCAAACATCCCATCCCCTCCTTCAGAGCGCAGCACAACTGCACGCAAGGCGATCTCAGTGTGGCGGATAACAAAAGACTTGGCAGATCGGGATTTTACTCCCGGTGCTGACTCGTCAGATGATCCCAGCCAGGCCATCGCTCCTGCTGCTTTGGCTGCTGAGCGCTCCAAGCCAGGAGCACGGCTACGCTGGGCAGTCCCGTCCCATCCCACCCCAGGCAGTCCCATCCCATCCCATCCACCTCCCAGGGCTCTGGCAGCCCCATCGCTCCCCGCTGCCGCAGGGGGACCCCTGTGTTCAGGAGGGCACCGGGCCTGCGGCACCCCGAGGGGCCCCGCACGGCTGCCGGCACGGCACAGGAGGATGCAAGGCAGGGAAAAGCTGGCACCAGTGCTGCCCTGGGGAAGCCTCCCGGGAAAAGGGCACGCAGAGGGGGAACATGCCCGCTGGCTGCTCTCGGCACGAGGGCTTTAACCACCTGGGCTGTGCAACACGGCCTTCGCGAGGCTTACAGGACTGTAGAGCGAGGAGCACACTCAGAGCAGATGCTTTTACCTACCATGATGTTAAGACCTTTACTGGGGGATCTGACCCGCTGGGAGTGAAGGGGCCGCAGGCACCAGTGATGGGCTGGCTGCACCCTGCGCCCGTGGCCGGTAACCTCAGCCCAGTGACTGCATTGAGGTCAGACAAATAAACCCATATGGGGAAAACTGCTGGGAGAATCCCCAAAAACCACAGAGACCCAAACTGGACCTCTCCTCCTTGCACCCGACTCAATTACGGTAACCGGCATCATCCTGCCCTGCAAAAATCCCAAGGTTTCTCAACACCTCCGTCCTTGTACAAGACCCCAAGCCACCCACCCGCCAGCCACAGCATCGGCAGGGCCACCTCCAGCCACCAAGCTGGGCCCCTGGCCAGGCAGAGCAAGCGTGCCGGTGATCACCCTGTTCCCGTTTTTAATCAGCACTGGCTCCCTGCACACGGGATTGATGCCGCTGAAGCGCTCGCAAAAAGCCTCCGGGTTGGATTTCAGCACGTGCCCTGGCTTGCTGCCCACCCGAAACCCCCACGGATGCTCACAGCACATCCCAAAGCCAGAGGACTCGTACCCTGTCACAGGAGCCGGCCCAGCCCAGTGCCAGGGACAGCGGCTCGCACCGAACCTCACCGAAACAAGCCCTGCCCCAAGGGTCTGGGTCGCACCTCAGCATCACACTTGCTGCCCCATGCCGCCTCTTGCGCGCCCGGGCCCACGGCAGAGACAGACACGCTGCACGAGCTACTGGGAATCGAGCTTCAAATTAAGCCTGAGCCGCACACAGAGTGATCCCCCAGCAAAGGCTCAGTGCTCAATACTTAAGGACTTAGAGGTTTCATCGCTGTAATTAACCTTAATCTTTAATTTATAGGGCATGGGGAAACAAGCCAGATGCTGTAACTGTTTTATCCAATTACCAATACAAACCCCGGATCCCGGGAAGGGGACAGGTTCATTAGTGGAGCAGCTCTGTGCTCCATGGGTGCATGCAGTGCTTTGGGGTGGACACGCAGCCGGCCTCCCCGTGCCCCTGTCCCTGCCTGCAGAGCAGCCACGCTGCCCGCCCACCACTCTCCGGTCAGGGAACCACGCGAACCTTTATGGGCAGCAGCTTCTGGTCGGGCTCGGGCAGTAATGGGACCGGGAGAACATCCCAGCATCCGGGCTTCACCCTCCCAAAGGCAGCCCCGGCCCCCGCCTGCCAGCCCAAGCCGTGCTCTCCTGCCCCGCACAGCAAAAGTCAGCCCAGGCACCCCATCAGCCCTGCCTCGTGCTCCGGCCAGAGGAACCCAGGCTTAAACCGGGCTGCAAGAGCTGTATTGCTGCCACAAGGAGTTAGTGCAGGCTCGGAGCCGAGAGCGCGATGGACGCGCCAAGGCCAGGGCACGGCACAGGGACGCGGGTCAGACGGACCCGGCTCCTGCTGCAGAGGTGTCCCCCAGGCGTGGGAGGGGACGGCACCGGGGTCCTGCCGGCACGGCCAGAGCTGCAACTGCGGGGCACAAAGGGTTAACAACCATCGCAGGAACGGCAAGGAAGGTGATGAAAAGCGAAGGCAGGGTCCCAAGGCACCGGCAAGGAGAAGGGCAGCCAGTGACCCGGCTCTCTGTTTACCTGGAGACTCACCAACGCGGGGCCCCAGCTCAGCTCCAAGCTGGGGATCCCCGTGCTGCTGGCCAGGGCTGTGCCACGCTCCTTCCAGCCCAGCCACCGACACCGCAGAGAGGAGCTGGACCCCGACGCATCCGGCTGCCCCGAGCCCAGCCGTACCTCCCCCCCGGGACTCCATGTGCTCCCCCAGCTCCTCAAGCCTCCCAAAAGGAAGGAGCCTGCTGCTGCCCCATCCCAGCTCCTGGTGCCTCTTCCAGCCAGGGGGCACCTGGCAGCTGCAGGGCCCCGACCCCCATCGCCTCCCTGCTCCCGCTCTTCCCCCCATCCTGCTCTGCTGCACCAGGACGAGCTCCCAAACTTTGCAGCCCCGCGGCCCACCCGCTGCAATTTCAGGGGAAATCGTGCATCAGGAAGGTGCAAAAAACCCCCCAAACTTTCAAGTTCAAAAAGTTGTGATGGGAACTGCAGCGGAGCACGCGGCCAGCACCACTCCGGCTGGCCCCAACAGCTCCTGGCTCCGCGGCACCACCACGAAGCAGAGCAGTGACCGCTGACAGCCAGGGACCCCCACCTCTCCAGTGTGCCCCCTGGGCAGGGATTTTGGGCTGGCTGCCCTGGAAAGGGAAGGGGGACCATGGGGCACACCCCGGGCAGCAGCTGGGGTGCCTGGCCAGCAATCCTGCAGCACCCACCCCGCAGGCACGGGGCACCGCGTGGTCCCCGGGAGCCGCTGCCGGCCGTGCACAGCTGCCTCTCAGCCAGCAGACACCAACCGTCCTCCCCAAAATCACGCTACGGATCCGCGTCCCCTTGGATGGAGCCAGGCTGGCACGAGCGGCCAGGCGAGGCCTTTCCTGAGCATCCCAAGATCTGCTTGTCGGGCACGAGATGGCAGGAGGCGGTGGGAAGGGTTCCCCGCGCCACCGATGAGGTAAAGCACGGGGAAGGCAGCGTCCCCAAACCTCCAGCAGCACCAGCCCTGTCCCCACCGGTGCAGCGGGCTCCGGGGTGAAGTGACGCCCCGAGCGAAGGTCTCGTTCTGAAGGCAGCGGTGGGATTCGCAGCCAGTGCTGACGCCTGCCCGGGGAGTGGGGGGGATCACCTGCAACCTCGAGAAAGAACTGTATTCGGGCACAAGAAAAACATGTGTTTGGGCAACGGGACGACAACGGAGGCACCGGGCACTGCAAGGGGCCTTTGGTGGCCAACGGGCTCGAAGACGGGAGCTGGGACTGTGCCGGCGCGCGAGCCCGGCTCGATGCAGACATGTGGAGAGCAGGGTCGGATCCCACCAACCCAGCTCCCGCAATCGGCACGGCTGGCGAGAGGACACGGCAGGTAACGGGGTAGGGCAAAAAAAGGCACCGGGAGGGAACACGGGAACCTGGACACGGTGCCAGGGCCCGATCCCGGACCCCGACCTTCGCGCTCCAGGTCTCCACCCGTGGACCCCAGCACGGGAAGAAGAGGAGAGGAGCGTGGGGCAACACGAGGGATGTCCCGGCCCCCGGTGTCCCCGCGGGCAGCCGTTCGCTCACAC